TATTGCAACATTTCCGACAAGGACAGAACATCTTACCACTTTCCTGCGTGAGTGGTGTAGAATCTGCTTGATGCATAAACGTCTCCAACCCTTCGAGAAATTCTTTCGTCACCCTCCCGTTATTATCTCTGTGTGAATACATCCACTTCCGCAACTCGAAAATACTTCCCGGACCGGACATTTTTTTTTTTGTTTGATCAAGCTTATAGCTGATTTTTTTTTTGTGTGTTTCAAATGAATCACATATGGTGGTATTTATAGAAATTTTCGAATCTGAGAATTTACTAGGAAATTGCTAGGAAAAGTACGTACAAAACACGTTTTTGATTTAAATTCGATATTTTCTATCTATTTCCTCTTAATTTCGTAGTAACAAATATTTTCCTCTTAATTTCGTAGTAAACAATTACTAGGACTTTACGAGGAAAAGCATTACTATGAGTTTACGAGGAAAATAACTTTTTCCTCGTAAGGGCCTCGTAAGTTTACTTCGAGTTTACGAGGAAACTTTTTTCTCGTAAGTTTACGAGAACTTTACGAGGAAAAGTGGTTTCCTCATAAACTCGAAGTAAACTCGTAGTATTTTTACGAGGAAATATTTTCCTAGTAAAGTTTCCTAGTAATGGCTTAGTTTTCTTGTAGTGTACTAGGACATAAACATGGTGTGGTCCTTTGCCGATAACATAGGAGTAGAAATGATAAATCCTTATGATTTTCACTCTGAAACGCCAATGCTTGACCTTCTCGATATAGACAACTTTATCAAGAGTATTGTAGTGTTCCATATTTGAAAGATGATAAATTCTTTCTTTACGGTGAAATGTTTTTAGATATAAATGAGACAATTTAACTTATTGCATTGGAGTTGAGATTAAATTGAGAGTTTCTTAAATTGAATGCAAATGTAATGATGATCTGGTTTAGTTGTGAGATTTAAAGGAAGTGTAATGATGATCATAGGCGACTGTTAGTGTGAAAATTCGTGTCTTTTTTACTGAACTCAACTTGTTGTGTTGGGGTAATAAATGTGAAAATTATGGAGGGGAAGGCACCATCTAACAAATCACTAATGGTAGAGTTACAACTTGTAGTTGGGGTAATAAATCCATATTACACAAATTAAATTACTCTTCATTTATTATCCCCTATCTTTTTTATGAATAATATATTTATTTCTTCAAGGTTTACATAGTTTCATATATTTAAACTATCAAAATTGTTACACTATCTAAATTGTTAAACGTTTTCTTAGTTTCATATATTTAGACAATCTAACTAAGCGGTTTCACTTAGTTTTCAAAAGTTATTTATTTTTATCATTTAAAGTTTTACAAAGTTTTAAATCCAACACATGCGACTGTTGCGGTTAGAAGTCGTGCCTTCTCGAAACCTCCATCAAATGACCCTTAACTGCCGTGATAAATACAATCTTATCTCTTCTCCATTGTTGAGTATCAACGCTATTATAAAAGATTTATCATTTTGTTGAAATAAAGAAAAAGTTAATCTTTCCATTTACGTGATAAAAACAAATATCTCACCATGTCGAACTCTAACTTGGCATCTCTCCCTCCTTCTATGCTTCACAAGATTCTCTCTAAGGTAGCAACAAACAATTTCCGGGACTTCGGTAGTGCAAGAGTTGCATTACCCGCCTTCAATCAAATTGGCAGAGAAGAATACTTCTACAAATCTACAGATCTTATTCACTTCAATGATTGGATTGATGAGTTTAATGCTGTCAGAACATACAGTCTTAAGAGCTACCAAGCCGGTAATCCACAGGCCATCTACATGCGAGGTATGTATGAGTTCTTCGTCCTCCATTTACTTGATCAAGGAAGGGAAAAAATTCGACTTGCTGGTGAGAAGGGATTTATGTTGGCCAAGTACGATGATATGCATAACTTAGCATTTAGTGATGATGATAGAGGACTGGTTCACAACTTTCCTACCTTTACACGTGAGTTTGCTGATCAGATGAATCATATGCTCGCTACTGAGGTATCCTTAGGTCATCGGGATTACGAAAAACCACAGATCTTTATGTCTCTATTGGAAAAATAGACCCCAACATCAATTATAATTGTTGGTGCGCGGAAATGATGCAACTGGTGTTTGTTGTCTTCTTAGATGGATCAAGAACACAGTGGAAATGCAATCGTTGTTTGTGGCAATGTGCAGTTTGGGAATTCTGCAATGATATTCATTTGACCGTTTCTTAGTGGCCAATTAAAGATTAGGGATAAAGTATTTTCGTGTGTTTATTAAGTTGTTTATAAGTTATGCCATGCACCGTTATATACTTTTCTAAATTTTATGTAAAATACATTTCTCTAATTGGAATGTCAATAGTTTTTATTTATTATAATTTCACTAAATATATTAGTAACATAATGCAAATGAATAATTGTAATCAAAGTTGAATCGATATGTTATCACTAAATATATCAATAACATATTGCAAATGTACAAGATACAATCAAAATTAGTTGAAAGTTTACTAAGTTGTATAGTAACTACAAGTGTGAATTGGTTCAATTTAAATTACAGTTACACTTACACCAAGTTATATAATTACACAAAGTTTCAGTAAGTTTCTAAAGTTATGGACACTGGAGATCCAAATTTTATGATTCGGGTCTGGATAATCCACGAAATACTCCTAATTAATTTGTAATAATTCGAATTTCTTTCGGTATTTTGGTCTTTTATTAAATTTTTCTATTTAGATAAAATTTTATTTGGATTTATTTGGGATGAATTTCGGATATGAATATTTGGGAACAAAATTTGTCGGACAAGAGTACTGGAGATAAAAAAAAGAGTTATTGCACTCTATAACGTAAAACAAAAGTTTAATTAGGTAACTACACACAATCTTTTTGTATTTAAACAATTGACTATACGGTGGAAAATACATGACGTTAATAACCCTAAACGAAATGAATTGATCGCCTACATTTTGAGAAGCACTAGCAAAGTAGGTCTCAAAGATGCTAGAGTGTTAGGAGACAAAGTCAGAACTTGCAGACCTAGTGGGCCACTATTATTATAGATGAGATGCAACCGTGTATCTTTAGTATAGTTATTTACAAATAACTTATTCTTAGGTTCACTCCCTAGGTTCACCAACCAATAGAAAAGTTTTATTTCATATTTGATATTTTTTAGAAAAGGAAACAAAATCTTGTCAAGTTATATTATGTTTTTAAAATAAAAATTAGAAAAAATAAATAAAAATATTAATATTTACAAAAAAACGAAAAAAAATCTTAAAAAAAATATTTTAACATTACATTATGTTTTAAAATAAAAGATAAAAATAAAAGAAAAACAGTAATAATTGCAAAAAACAATTTCAAAAAAAAATATTTTAATATATCTTTAAAATAAAAACATGTGTTTAAAATAAAAAACATAAAAATAAATAAAAAATAGTATAATTGGTTAGTAATAATTTATTAAGGGTTAAGATTTTTCCAAAGGGTTTATGATTTACCCAAGGTTTAGGGTTTAGCATTAGGGTTTAGGGTTTAGTATTAGGGTTTAGGGTTTAGGATTAGAGTTTAGGGTTTTGTGTTAAATATTTTTTTTAAAGTTTTTTTTCGTTTTTTTAATATTATTATTTTTTATTTATTTTTGTATTTTTATTTTAAAAACATAATATAACTTAACAATATTTTATTTCCTTTTAAAAAAGATATCAAATATAAAATAACACAATCTTATTGGTTGGTGAACCTAAGAATAACTCTTTACAAATTAAATCTTACCATTTCATTAACTGTTTCATAAGTTAAGACATAAATTGTTTTGTCATTTGAAATCTCTCAGATAAATGGGAAGAAGAGAAAAAGTTTCCGTTGCATTTGTAGACTTTCCGTTTGGATGTAAAATAGTATATTGTAGGTTCATGATATAGATTGTAGATTGTAGGCTTATAGATTATAGGCTTATAGTGTCAGAACACGTGCATGTGAGATGTTTTATCTCTAGGTGTCAGACTTAAGTTGTGATGTGAAGGTAGGGGTATATTTTGGGATTATGAAAAATCAAATAGTGATCTTCCATATAACTAATTATCTTTCATTCTATGTATATTGAGCTAATTAGCTCTAAAAAAAACTAGTGGAGCGTCTCGTGTCCCACAGAACGTGGGCCCATGTACTGACGTGGCAATATCCTACGTGTAACACACTGTAACGTTTCTCTCCTCACTCTGAGCCCAAATGTCTCTCTCTCTCTCTATCCTTTCTTTTTCTGTTTAGCGTTTAAACAAGATTCTCTGAAGATATTTTTTTCTTCTGTTCCTCTCATTACCGTAAGCTAAATCTTGTAGATTTGGAGTTTTCATTGTTCTGATCTTGTGGTACCGATGACGAACACAGATGATACAGAGAGTTGCGGCAGCAGAGCCGTCGTGGCTTCGCCGTCCCAAGAAAACCCTAGACACTACCGGATGAAACTCGACGTCTACAGTGAAATCTTACAGCGACTCCAAGAATCTAACTACGAAGAAGCTACTCTTCCTGATTTCGAGGATCAACTTTGGCAACATTTCAATCGCCTCCCTGCTCGGTAATTCCTCTGCATTGATTCGGCTGTTTTGCTAATTTTATTTTGATTAAAGTATTCAATTTTAATGAATGTGTCGTTGACCAAAAAAGCTGTATCTTTTTCTGTTTCTGTAACACACGTGTCTTGACCCTAATATCATTCATTTGGCATTTGGCATTTGGCTTTATCTTTGCATGTTTCCAGATATGCTCTGGATGTTAAAGTTGAGAGGGCAGAAGATGTTCTCACACATCAGAGATTGTTGAAATTGGCTGAAGATCCTGCTACTAGACCTGTCTTTGAAGTTCGTAGTGTACAGGTAATAACCAAGCTTCACTTCCATTCTACCTGACTCTTTTGTTTTGATTCGTTTCTTTCTCGGTTGCAGGTTTCTCCCAGAAACTCTGCTGACTCTGACCCTGCGTTGGAAGAAGATTCTCAAAGCTCTAGCCACCTAAACAGGCAAGGGTAAGGGTTTCTATCAAACTGAGATCAATCTTAAAACCATTTTCAACATTGTTATTTTGTTTTAGTCGTGCCCTTTCTTCTTGTTTAAAGCGTTCTTGCTCCTCCAACTTTTGGCTCTTCTCCAAATTTTGAGGCTATTACACTGGGAAATAAAATTGTGGAAGATGATGATAGTGCGGTTAATGCAACATTGGCTACTCGGTGAGACTTTCTTGTTAATTGTTGTTTCTTTGAATCATGTTGTGCATTGCGTTTTTTGCACTTATTCTTAACTTGTTTTGCTTCCTGTGTGGCAGACCGATGCATGAGATCACCTTTTCAACCATCGACAAGCCTAAACTCCTTAGTCAGGTTGGTGATGATTCGTTACAATTTTTTCCATGTAGAAGCTGATTATTCTTTTTCTATTTTTTTTGTGATAATTTGAGTTGGTAATGGTTGTCTCTTTCAGCTTACTTCCCTGCTTGGCGAGCTTGGATTGAATATTCAGGAGGCTCATGCTTTCTCCACTGCGGATGGTTTTTCATTGGATGTCTTTGTTGTTGATGGTTGGTCTCAGGAGGTATGATTCTAATTTCTAGCTTTTTGAACTATCATACTACTTACTTAATGCCTTAGCGAGATCTTAATTCTTAAGTACCTGTGTCTTTGTTATCACTAAGCTGTTTGATAAATTAAGGAAAATTGAATTTATAGGAAACAGATGGTTTAAAAGATGCATTAAGCAAGGAGATACTGAAGCTTAAGGTATTTTCCATATCTTAAATTTTGTGAACATTTCATATGTTTATGAGATAAAATGTTTTGCTATGTTTTGCTTCAAACGTTTGTAAGTTGGTTGCCTATATTTTCCCCTGGCTGTCTTCTACAGGATCAACCTGGTTCTAGACAGAAGTCTATTGCTTTCTTTGAGCATGACAAATCAAGCGACGAGCTGATACCCGCCTGCATTGAAATACCCACGGATGGAACTGACGAGTGGGAGATTGACGTGAAACAGCTCAAAGTTGAAAAGAAAGTGGCATCTGGTTCATATGGGGATCTGTGAGTTTATTTTCCTGTAAGCTGGTCTTTCAAAGCTGTACGTTTTTGTTTAAAAGTTAGATAACATGTTTTTGATGGGAATGCAGGCATAAAGGCACTTATTGCAGTCAGGAAGTTGCTATCAAATTTCTTAGGCCTGAACGTGTAAACGCAGAGATGCTTAGAGAATTTTCTCAAGAAGTTTATATTATGAGGTGAGTGCAATTTAATTCGGAATGCTTAATAGTTTACCCTGATATTCCACTGCAAAGTCCAATTCGTATTTTATGTTAAACATGCCTTGGTTAACCCTTTTCGCTAATGTTACAGTTTTCTAACGTTTATATTCAGGCGCAGGCTTGAACTTTGACAAGTCTGTGTCGTACGTTTTGCAAGTTGTAATGATTTTTTTTTTTTTTGTATAGTAGCCAACATGCATGCTTCGTTGTTCTCAGTGTCAATTTGTGACTGATTTTATACTTTCTATAGGAAAGTCCGACATAAAAACGTTGTTCAGTTTTTGGGTGCATGCACACGATCTCCGACCCTCTGTATTGTGACTGGTAAGATCTTAGTAGATGTGAATTTGAATAGTAATTCACAAAGACATGTCATATAAGTTGACGAGTTCTATCTTGTAACAGAGTTTATGTCTCGGGGGAGCATTTATGATTTTCTGCACAAACAGAAATGCGCTTTCAAACTTCAAACTATGCTTAAAGTTGCACTTGATATTGCAAAAGGGATGTGTTATCTGCATCAGAACAATATCATTCACAGGGACCTGAAGACTGCAAATCTTCTTATGGATGAACATGGGGTAAAATTTGCTACTCTTAGTGTAGTCAACAAAACGTGTCTTTACGTTTTATCTCTACGAACTCGTTTTGTTTCTATTAGAAGCGACAGCCTCTGGGGTTCTAAACTTTGAATAATTTTGAGCAGCTTGTCAAGGTTGCTGATTTTGGAGTTGCCAGAGTACAGATCGAATCAGGGGTAATGACGGCTGAAACAGGGACGTATCGATGGATGGCACCAGAGGTAACAAACCAGTACCTCAAATACATTGATCAGACATTACATGTTTAGTATGAAACTTATTGCATCAGTCTAACGGGTGCTGGCTCTCTCCTATGTTTTATCTCTCACTTACTTTTAATTTGACAATATAATTCTGAAATCCAGGTGATTGAACACAAACCTTACAGTCACAAAGCAGATGTGTTCAGTTATGCGATAGTGCTATGGGAACTTTTGACTGGTGATGTAAGAGTATGCTTGTCATTCTTTCTTTGAATCGTTCATGCTAATTAAAGATACTGATATGTATTGTGTATTTGTAAATGGAAACAGATCCCATATGCTTTCTTGACTCCACTACAAGCGGCTGTTGGTGTTGTTCAGAAGGTATTGCATTTTAGGAATCGTTGCATTCAAGTTTTTTGGTTCTATCTCCAGAGACTAAATTAAATCCTTTTATTCTCAGGGGCTTAGACCGAAGATTCCAAAGAAGACACACCCAGAAGTGAAGGGACTTCTAGAGAGATGCTGGCAGCAAGACCCAAAAGAAAGACCAGACTTTGAAGAAATTATAGAAATGCTTCAACAGATAATGAATGAGGTAAACGTCGTACCGTGATGATCCGAGTTAAAAAAAAAACGCTGAGAGGCGAGATTTATCAGAGCGGGATGTGGTGGTGAAAACAAGCAGGTTGGGGATGAAGACCAAGGCAAGGATAAGCACTGTCGTAGTCTCTTACAAGCCCTCAAAAAGCCCCGTTACTAGTTCTGATCAGTTTCAATAATACTCTCCTACATTTTGACTTATACAGTTTTTTTCTTTAGTTGTTTGGGGGTGTGGCTAATGGGGAGGACCTAGTTTTGACCTTAGTGAGTATTTTCTCCTTTTAGTTGCTCTTTGATGATTCATTTCTACGTTAGAAACCCTCCACACTTTTATAAGAAAAGAAAATGAAAAGAAAATTTGCATATTCGTATGACTAAGTGATTTTCGAAGGAGTAATCATTGTTTTAGATTGTTGCATTGTTTCAAGTTTCTACTTGCACATCCTGCTTGAGCTTGACCATGAGTAGAAGCTCTTCTCCGTGTCCTTACGATTCCAACTCAATTATCGAGATAAGTAATGACTTCTTTTGACAACCAGCATACAAAGCTGCAGGGAAAATGGGCAATTAATTCCCCAAGTATTTGAAATCGGCAGTTTTAATACTCAAGTATTGCTCGCGCAGAATTATTCCCCAACTAATAGTTGACTGCGCGAAATTAGGAATGAAATAGTCAAACCGTTAACTGGTTAACGGAAAGATAACGGTTGACTATTTCGTTCCTAATTTCACACAGTCAACTATTAATTGGG